CATACGGAATCTGACAGAGCATCCTATGGAGTTCAGTGGAAGACTATCAGTGACAACGGCAAAGAAGAGTTAACTTCTCTGCTATCTTTGCATCTGACAATTCTCAACCATTTATTTCACTATTTATTTAAAACATGTCTGTGCTGCTTTTCCATCCAAACAGTTTCCCCAAGTTGGCAAACATCCATAGAATCATAGAGCTGGAAGGGACCTTCAGAATCATCTAGACCAACCCCCTGCAGGAAATTCACAAAAACCTCCCCCTCCACACTCCCATTGACCCCTGTTCCATGCCTAGGAAATTACAAAAAAACCTCCAGGATCTCCAGCCAAACTGGCCTGGAGAAAAATTGCTTCCTGACTTCAAAGTGGTGATCAGCATTTCCCTAGGTGTGTGAGAAAGGGCCACAAGAACTAAGCACTGGGGCAACCCTTCCCACCCTCCCTCTCATGATCTGCCTAAGTCCACAGAATCAGCATTGTTGTCAGATGGGCATCTAGCCTCTGTTTGAAAAGAAGCAGCAGAAGAAGCAGCAGCAGCAGCAGAAGAAGAAGCAGAAGCAGCAGAAGCAGCAGAAGAAGAAGAAGAGGAGGAGGAGGAGGAGGAAGAAGAAGAGGAAGAGGAAGAAGAGGAAGAAGAGGAAGAAGAGGAAGAAGAGGAAGAAGAGGAAGAAGAGGAAGAAGAGGAAGAAGAGGAAGAAGAGGAAGAAGAGGAAGAAGAGGAAGAAGAGGAAGAAGAGGAAGAAGAGGAAGAAGAGGAAGAAGAGGAAGAAGAGGAAGAAGAGGAAGAAGAGGAAGAAGAGGAAGAAGAGGAAGAAGAGGAAGAAGAGGAAGAAGAGGAAGAAGAGGAAGAAGAGGAAGAACAGGTGCAAGTGGAGGAGTGGGGAATCAAACCCGGTTCTCCCAGATTAGAGTCCTCACACTTAACCACTACACCAAACTGGCTCTTCAAAGAAGGAGAGCCTACCACATTTAAAACCTTAAAACAACATTCAAAATGTACAGCTGAAACATTGAAACAATTCAGTGAAAACCTATAGACACACTAATACAAGACAACCAGGGAGGAAGGCTAATAAGAATTACAGGGGATATGCGGGAAATAAACCCCTTCACCCGCTGGAGAAAAACAATGATGGAGGGAGACATAAGAATCTCCCTGGGGAGGGAGTTCCAAAGTTTCACTGCCATGACCAGGAAGGCACTTTATCGGGATGCCACCCATCTACCCTCATGGCAGGGACACTCAAGGCCTTCAGAGATGACTGGAGTTGACAGGAAGGTTCATGTGGCAGAAAGTGATCCACCCGACTTGTTTAAGGTATCTCAGCATCTACTGACTCCTAAATCCAAGTCTCTATTGTCCCAGAAACAGGAAATTAGTTGTGGTGCTTCTGCAAAGTTTTTTTTTGCCAATAAAATATCTCAAATACATTTTGATTTGGATGCTAGTTGTAATGTGGCTCAGATGAAACGTCTAATCAGCCATCTGGCTCATCTATGGGCCATGTTGATCTGGACACCACCAAGGATGTTGACAAGCTGCTGGGATCTGTGAAGGCGGATTACACACTACAGATCCCTTCTTTGCTTCCACTTTCTTTCACATTTCTGCAATCCCAGTCCTATTACACTGCTTGCATTGGTTGATGTTGTGTAATCTCAGGCTATAAATGTAAATATTTTTTTTAAAATATATATATTTTTATTTATTATACACAACAATAACTACACAAAACATAACAAACATACAACATGTGGTCTATCTTACCACATTTAAAACAGATCCTCTGTACCTCCTTAAACATAACTAACTAGACTAATTTTGCATTTATCCAAAATATTTGAGTTGATTAAATATTCATTTCAATCCAATCATATACATTTGACCAGATTTTTTGAAAAACTGAATTCATATTTCCATAAATTTTTTGCGTCAAGTTATCCATTTCAATCACCTCAATAACTTTGTTAATAAAGTCCCATGTAAATAAATATATATAAAACTTCTGGTCTATCAGGAAACCCCATCCTAGGCCTCCCATGTAACTTGCAATGTAGCCCTAAGAACGGAAAGAAATTGCATTTATTTCCATAGGAATTTTTTAAAAAAACAACAACAATTTTATTGGGATATAATAAAAAAGTCAAACACATATCAAACTTACATTTGTTATATATCCTTTCCACCTCCCCCCCCCCATTCTTAGGCTTCCCACAGTGCTCCAACCTCCAGCCCATGTCTTCAATTCTATTATTTACTCCTTCCACCTTCATTTCACATCTATAGGTAACTTCTCTTTCAACTTTTGTTCTTATACGTTATATATTTATCTCTATTCTATTAACTTTTATATTTCAATAGTTATCAAAGGAAAGCAAATTGTCCTTCACATCCCAGTATTTCTCTAGATAGTCTTTCAGATCTTTCCAATCTGCAAATTTCCATAGCAATGTTTTGACCTCAGTATAGGTGGAATGCATTTTAAAGGGAAACCAAAGTTGTCCAGGAGATCCCACTACAGACCTCTTGCACAGAGGTGGGTTTACAGTAAAGGACCCCCAACTTCTTCATCACTAACCCAACAGGAAGGGACCAAAACAGCCTCATCCAAACTTGATGCCTCTAGGAGACCCACGGGGTTGCCAACCTCCAGTTCTCCGGTTCTCCCACTATTACTACAGAAATCAATTCACCTGGAGAAAATGGCCACTCTGGAAGGAGGCCTCTGAGGCATACCGACCCACTGAGGTCCTTCCCTTCCCCAAACCCTGTCTTCCTCAGGCTCCAGCCCCCAAATCCTCAGCTTTTCCCCAACTTGGAGCTGGCAACCTTACGGAAATGATTGCCACCCCCTTTATGACAGACCCAGTTCTGAGAGACCCAGCCTGAGCTTCCCCCATCCCTGCCTCTCCACACAAGAAAGACTATTCCTGCCAAGTGTCAACCAATGGGGGGGAAGCAGGTGCCAAGGTAAGGAAAGATAGGCAGCAGGTCTAGAAGGAGAAGATGAAGAGACTGGATTTATACCCCACCCTTCACTTGGAGTCACAGAGTAGCCTACAATCTCCTTCCCCTCCCCCTCCCCACAGCAGACACCCTGTGAGGTAGGTGGGGCTGAGAGAGCTCTTTCGAGAACTGCTCCTGTGAGAGCAGCTCTGAGAGAACTTGTGACTGACCCAAGGTCACACCAGCAGCTGCATGTGAAGGAGCGGGGAATCAAACCCGGTTCTCCCAGATTACAGTCCAGGCTCCTAACCACTACACCAACCTGTCTAGAGAGAGAGATTCAGACTACTCACCTACCCAGTGGGGTTTAGAACCTGAAAAGCTGATGGGGCAGGAGGAAGGAAGGGGTCCCGCCAGTTCCCCGCGCCCGCAGGTCGGAGCCGGCGGGGAGTGGGGGGGGGGACGCTCTTTGGGATCCCTCCCCCTTTCACGCCCTTGGGAAGGAAGGATCGACGCTTTTTTCCCAAGAGGAAGGAGGGGAAGGCAGCTTGCGCGGGCGGGACGGGGAAGGGGGAGGGCTTGGGCTGCTGCTTCCTTCGCGGGTCTCTCGGGACGGGCGGGAGGCGGCCAAAGTATGCAGGCTGTTGCGCGGCAGGGGGTGCTTCGTTCGCCTTCCAAGGAAGCGGGCCCGGGAGATTGCGTGGGCGACTCTCCACGTCGTCTCTCTTCCCGATTCTGGGAAGGGTTTCGTCTTTCGGGGACAGGAAGTCTGTGCGGGGCAGCGCCCGAACACGCCGTCGCCACTGCTAACTTTTAGCCCGTTGCGCCTGGGAAACCCTCCCGCTGTCGCCGGTGGGACTCTCCTTCCCCCCAAAGGGCCCGGCCTGCCATTGCTGAAACCAGCGGAGGAGGAAGGCCTTTCCTCGACGCAAAGCGACGGGGCGCAGCGCCGCTGACCCGGCCGGGGCGTCCCGAGAGCAACATCTTTGCATGAGCTGCTGGGTTACAACATTTCGCCTGAAAAACGCGAGCGAGGGCGGCGGGTCGGACGGTCGGTGTCTGACGCCATCGCGGATGATCGCAGGCAGAAGGGCCCCCGCCCCCCCGGCCAGTGTTGGGGGGGGGGGGGAGCGAGGCTCGCGATTACCAAAGGAGAGGTTATTAAGAGCCATTCGGAGGGAGAATGGAGGCTGCCCGTTCTGACCCGAGGAATTCCACATTTGACAGCAGTGCCTTGGAAGAGAGAAGAGATTGGATTTTGTAAGGTATCCATCCCAGACCGTGGCCATTTCATCAGGCGGTCATCCCAAGCTGCCAAGCTTTGCTCTCAGGAACAATGGGACAAGCTCGGCAGGCTAGGCTCCCAGCGAGAGCCTATGGAACTCTCGGCCACTAGCAGTGCCTTGGAAGAGAGGAGAGATTGGATTTTGTAATGTATCCATCCCAGACCACCGGCGCGGTCATGCAAAGGGCCGAGCTTTGCTCTCAGTAACAATGGGTCAAGCGGACCCTAGCCCAGGCTACGCTCCCTGTGGAGAGCCTATGGAACTCTCGGCCACTGTAAATAGCCAATCACTTGGGTGTGGGTGTGTTTTGGGTGTGGGGTTGTTGCACATATAAACCAGCCTGCGAGCTGGTTAGTTTGTCTTCTTCTGAGCTGAAATAAAGTATGAGAGCTGAAATCACTAGTAAGTCTCAGTATTTTTCAGATTTATAGCCTGTCCCTCACTACCCGAAGGAGTCTCAAAACCGGTTACAATCCCTCCCACTCCCCACCCTACCCCACAACAGATACCATGTGAAAAGTCCTCATACATCTCAAGTGATTCAGCTCATAAGGTTTATTAAGCAGGAACAAGACAACTTTAGTTTATATTCCCACACACCCACCCAAAACACACCCCCACACCGCAATAAGCTATTTATAGTGGCCGAGAGTTCCATAGGCTCTCGGCCAGGAAACTAGCCTTCGGATAGGTGCTGGCTAGGAGCCACTTAGTCCATTGTTTCCTGGAGCAAAGCTCGAGGGCTGGAGCCACCCCCGATGCACTCAGCAGAGTGCTGGCCAGTGGTGGCGTAGTGGGTCCCAGTGACAGTGTCCCATGCATAGCTGGGGGGTTGTCCTGGGGGGTGCCAGAGGGGAAGTGCACGGGCTCCGCAGCAGGCGTTGCTGGTGGTGTTGACGGCCGTGGTGGTGCTGTGGGTTCCGGGGCATCAGGGATTTCAAATTCCTCGGGGTCCAGCAGCAGCGTCCGTCGGTGCAGCTGGTCTATATGGCGGTGTAGTATCTGCCCGTCCTCACTGGAGACTTTGTACGTTCTGGGCCCATTGATCCTCACCACTTGAGCCGGAATCCAGGCCAGGCCCTGTGCGTAGTTCCAGGCATACACGGGATCCTCAGGAAAGAATCTCCTGGCCGCCTCATGGGACTCCGTGGTCGGTACCTCTTCTGGGGCGCAGTCTGGGTGCAGGTGGTCTAGGAGCAGCATGAACCTCAAGAGTGGGAAACAATTCCAGGTTGGATCGGGACCGACAATTTCAGCCAAAAGTGACAGTTACCAAAGGGCTGGCCAGAACATGCAGAATGAAGATTTTCCCGAACATGATGAAATACTTGCAGAGAATGATGAAGAAAAGATGTCTGTCTGCAGATGACATAACTTTCAGCCTCATCGTCTTCTGATGTAAAGATCTGGAAGGAAATTGGAAGCGGTCATGGCTTGTTAGTAGTATACAGGTTTTGCATTGGTAAAGTGCCAGATTTACTCCCTGGCATATCCAGTTAAAAGGATCTCAGTTTACAAATGGGTTGGGAAAGAGCTTCTGCACTGGCCTTGAAGAATTGCTTCCAGGCAGAATGCTCGGGTAGGTGGCCCAATAGCATGAAGCAGTGTAAGGTGTCTTCTTACCTTGCTGCAACCTGAGACGCATTAATTGGAGAAGCAGAGGGTTGAATCTGGGCCTTTGTGCATGCGCTCTGTGACCAAGGTAGAACTGCTGCCCTAATTTAAGCCAGATAGTTCAGCTATTTTCAATGCCAATTCTCAACCTTTGAATCCAGTGGTACCTTTAAGACCAATAAGGTTTAATCCTGGGTATAAATTTTCAAGCTCCCTAGGGCACTCAAGGAAGCAATGGTCCGCCCTCTCCTGAAAAAAACATCTCTGGACCCGGCCGAATTAGCCAACTATCGACCGGTGTCCAATTTGCCCTATTTGGGCAAACTTATTGAGAGGGCAGTGGCGACACAGCTACAGGGCTTTCTGGATGACACTTCTGTCCTCGATCCCTTCCAGTCTGCCTTTCGCCTGGGTCATGGGACGGAGACGGTACTGGTCGCTCTGACTGACTACCTCCGTAGGCATCTGAATCGTGGCGGTGTGGCGGCACTGTTGTTGTTAGATCTGCCGGCTGTGTTCGACACGGTCGACCACCAGTTGCTAGCCCACCACCTCACCGACGTGGGGATTCAGGGGCTTGCCCTTCAATGGTTTGCCTCTTTTCACCAAGGTCGGGGACAAAGGGTGGCGATGGGGGATCAGCGGTCCCAGAGATGGCCTCTTGAATGTGGGGTGCCTCAGGGGGCGGTGCTGTCCCCGATGTTCTTTAACATCTACATGCACCCCCTTGCCCAGATCGCCCGGAGTTGTGGGCTTGGGTGTCATCAATATGTAGATGACACCCAGCTCTATCTGATGCTGGGCGGCCGGTCGGACTCCACCCTGGATGACCTTCATCGGGCGTTACAGTCCGTGGCTGGTTGGCTCAGACTGAGTTGGCTAAAACTAAATCCAGCAAAGACGGAGGTCCTGGGCCTGAGTCGGATCAGTTCGGGGTTGGGGCTCCCGCTCCCGACCTTCGACGGGGCGCCTTTGGTGCCAGCGTCGGAGGTTAGGAGTTTGGGTATGCTCCTGAACTCCTCCTTAACGATGGAGGCCCAGGTGGCAGCCACTGCCAAGTCAGCCTTTTACCATCTTCGGCTGGCGCAGCAGTTGGTTCCTTTCCTCAACCGTAATGACCTGGCCACAGTGATCCAGGCGACAGTCACCTCGAGGCTAGACTACTGTAATACTCTCTACATGGGGCTGCCTTTGTCGCAAATTCGGAAGCTGCAGCTAGTGCAGAATGCTGCAGCCAGGCTGCTGATGGGTCTAACTAGACGGGATCACATCCGGCCTGTGCTGAAAGCACTGCACTGGCTGCCAATGGCATACTAGATTTGCTTCAAAGTGCTGGTTTTAACCTTTAAAGCCCTATATGGCCAGGGTCCGGCTTACCTAAGGGACCGCCTTTCCCCGAAGGTTTCCCCAAGGGCACTACGGTCGGGGAATCAAAATCTCCTGGACATTCCAGGCCCCAGGAACATCAAATTTGCTGTCACCATCTCTTCTGCCAGGCTTTCGAGTAGGAGCCACCGCCACCATTATTCCACCATCGCCTCCTTCTTCTCCGCAATTTGACCATCTGTGGAGCGAGTATTATCGGGGACGCGAGACGTTCCTGGCGAATGATAGTGCTGCCGGGACGTATATTGTTGTTCTGTTGTTCTAGCATGAATAATTCCAGAACCCCATCTTGAAATTCATGGTTAAGCAACTTTTGGAGCACCGTTATTTTATAGTGAATTGTATATATTGTATTTTATATTGTTTTTATATTGTCTTATTGTTTTAACCTTGGCATTTATGCCTCTTGTGAGCCGCCCTGAGCCTTCAGGGAGGGCGGGATATAAATTCAAAGATAAATAAATAAATAAAATACATAAAGCTCACATCTTCAAATACAGGTATCTGAATAAGTGTGCATGCGCACGAAAGCTTATACTCAGAATTAGACATTGTTAGTCTTAAGGGTGCCACTGGACACAAACTTTGTCCCACTGCTTCAGACCAAACTTTGTCCCACTGCTTCAACCCACCTAAATCTCAGCTTTGGAAGACATGAAGGATAGAAAGCGCTTCTATGCATATTAAAAGGCAGGGCTATTTTTGGGCAGGAACACACAGGAACAGAGTTCCGGCTGGCTCCTGAGTTGGCCACGCCCAGCAGGAGCTCATTAGCATAACAGGCCACACCCAGCAGCAGAAACTCATTGGAACTGGCTACATCGGAGTGTGTGACCTAACATGCAAAGGAGTTCCTGCTACAAAAAAAGCTCTGGGTTTTGACAACAAACAAGGTAAACAGAATAAGAAGCAAAAGCTGGGTGTGGCTGGATGACCACACTTCTGGTAACATGGGGGTATGGCCTAATATGCTAATGAGCTGTACTATAAGGGGTGTGGCCTAATATGCTAATCAGTTTCTGCTGTTGGGTATGCCTTATTATGCTAATGAGTTCCTGCTGGGCTTTATCTTAAAAAAAAGCCATTAAAAGGTAAAGGTTCCCTTGCTCGAAAGCCAGTCGAATCCGACTCTAGGGTTGCGGTGCTCATCTCCGTTTCAAAGCCAAAGAGTCAGCGCTGTCCGAAGACATTTCCATGGTCACGTGGCCGGCATGACTAAACACCAAGGCGCATGGAACGCTGTTACCTTCCCACCGAAGTGGTACCTATTTATCTACTTGCAATTTCTTGCTTTCGAACTGCTAGGTTGGCAGGAGCTGGAACTAGAGATGAGAGCATATTACTTCTGAGGAAAAGTGGGGTTTTCCAGGCAGGCTTCACTTTCATTTCCTCACTTCTCTCCTTAGAAATTAGGCACCGCTTAAGCGGAATTTCCCTGGGACTCAGCCAAAGTGGACCATGGATCTCAGCCAACCAAGGCATTCCAAGAAGTAGTTGAAACCTGCAGAACTTGCATTTAAAGCTGCAAACCGCAGCACTTTGATGGTGTGCATTTGCTAACCATCCAAAGTGCAATATTTTGAATATGACAGAATCCTCAGCTGCCCAGATGGAACATTTCATGCTCCTGTAATTGCAGCTTGTTACCCAGATAGTCTTTTTAAATATGATGGGGAAAGATGTTGTGTGAAAATAGGTAAAGGTAAAGGTTCCCTTGCTCGAAAGCCAGTCGAATCCGACTCTAGGGTTGCGGTGCTCATCTCCGTTTCAAAGCCGAAGAGCCAGCGCTGTCCGAAGATGTTTCGGTGGTCATGTGGCTTTGGGGGTGGATCCAGGAGAGGGCAGGGTTTGGGGAGGGAAGAGGCCTGAGCATGATACAATGCCATAGAGACCACCTTTCAAAGCAACCATTTCCTCCAGGGGAGCTGATCTCTGTCAACTGGAGATCAGTCATAAAAGCAGGAGATCCCCAAGCTCAAGATTGAGTGAGGAGTGAGATGCAGACAATAAAATGGCTGCCCACCCTGCACACATAATGCCCCTGTATAAATCAATGGTGCGACCTCATTTGGAGTACTGTGTACAGTTCTGGTCACCACACCTCAAAAAGGATATTATAGCACTGGGAAAAGTGCAGAAAAGGGCAACTAGAATGATAAAAGGGCTGGAACACTTTCCCTATGAAGAAAGGTTAAAAGGCTTGGGGCTCTCTAGCTTGGAGAAATGACGGCTGAGGGGTGACATGATCAAGGTTTATAAGATTATGCATGGGATAGAAGAACTCCTGGGCACTCAATGAAATTGCTGAGCAGTCGGGTTAGAACAGACAAAAGGAAGTACTTCTTCACCCAAAGAGTGATTAACACATGGAATTCACTGCCACAGGAGCTGGTGGTGGCTACAAGCATGGATGGCTTCAAGAGGGAATTAGATAAGCATATGGAGCAGAAGTCCATCAGTGGCTATT